TGGTAGAAATCCTCCAAATCAAACTTAACTTGCACTCTGATACTTGATGACGTTAGCACAAAGTTAAAAAAAAAAAAGGTGAAGATAGCGGGGGGAGGGAAATATACTGGGAAAGCCTGGTTCAGGAAGAAGGAATGCAAAAAGGCAAAGATTTGGATGGTATAGAGAAGCTACATGCCTCTGTATCATGAACATTTTCTTCAATTAAAGAATTTGGTGCTGCTTGTAATGGGCCATCAGTCAATAGTCAAGAGGCCATTTATTAAGCACCTGTTGTGTGCCAGGCACACATCCCTGAGCGATGGGAATACAGAAAAAGAAAAAGAAAAAGACAGCTCCTCTCTCCCATTAGGTCACGAGTGAGTTTGACTGCTGTCACACATCTACATTTGAGTGTAGGATAGCCTACCTTCCAAAGGGCTGCCCAGACGCTCTTTGAAAGAGACACTGAAATCTTGATACAATGGAAAGAACACTTACTCTGGAATCAGGACTTGGCTTTGTAGTCACTTCCCCCTCCTCCTGTCATCTAGGACCTGCAGGAACTTGGGGAAACCTAACCTCCCTGGACCTCATTTTCTTCATCTGTAAAATGAGGTCAAACCCGATGGCCTCATAGGAGCCACCAGCTCTAGATCTGTGGTACATTGAGAGAGGTCATTCAGTCTAAAGGTGACTAGGTTGCCCAGTGGGTAGAGCACTGGACTTAGAGACAGGAAGACCTGAGTTCAAATCTGCCCTCAGCCACTTACTGACTGTATGACTCTGGGCAAGTCACTTACGCCTGTGTGCCTCAGTTTCCTCATTGTTAAATGGGTATAATAACAAAACCTACTTCCCAGGGTTGTTTTGAGGATCAGATAAGATCATATTTGTAAGGTGATTAGCACAGTGCCTGGTACATTTTGTTGTTATTATTCAGTCGTGTCCAACTCTTCATGACACCATTTGGGGTTTTTTTGCCAACAACATTGGAGTGGCTTGCCATTTCCTTCTCCAGGTCATTTGACACGTGAGAAAACTAGGCAAACAGTGTGACGTGACTTACCCAGGGTCATACAGCTAGTGTCTGAGGCCAGATTTGAACTCAAGAAGATGAATGTTCCTAAGTCCAGGACCTACACTCTGTGCACTGTACTACCTAGCTGCCCTTGCCTGGCATATTACTATGCTATATAAATGCTTGTTACCCCCCCACACCTTCCCCATCATCCAAACCATACACAACCAGGAATGTCCTCTATGACAGAGGTGTCAAACATGCCCCTACAACACTCTGAACCAGATTAAAATGTAATTGGGAAATATGTAACAAAATAAATAAAAAATACAATAGAACATAGATGTTATTATGGGGCAGCTAGGTGGTACAGTGGATAGAGCTTGGGGTCTAGAGTCAAGAAGACTCATCTTCCTGAGTTCAAATCTGGCCTCAGACATTTACTAGCTGTGTGATCCTGGGCAAGTCATTTAATCCTGTTTACTCAGTTTCCTCATCTGTTAAAATGAGCTGGAGAAGGCAATGGCAGACCACTCCATTATCTTTGCCAAGAAAACTCCATATGGGGTGACGAAGAGTCAGACACAACTAAGACAATGTGGCTTTCTACATCAAAATGCAGCATTGCCGATTTCTGTTGGAGTTTCACTCCTCAGATCTACACCATCCCCAAACATAGAGCGATCCAGCCTGCACTTACTGACTTTCCTTTTTCAGTCATGAGTAATTCACTACTTTCCAAGGCACATCATTCCATTTGGGACAACTCTCATTTGTTAGGAATTTTTTCTTTCCTGAAACCTTCCCCATGTTCTGGCTCCTTTATTTTCTACAACAGCAATGTAAAGTAGGTAGTAGAAGCAATCCTCCCATTTTACAGATGAGGAAATTGAGCTGCACAGGAGTAAAGATCACCCCTTGCTAGTGATGTGATATCAGAACAGGGGCTTGATCCCAAATCTTCTGGTTCTAAATTCAGTGCTATTGACATCATACCACACCTTCCTCCAATGTTATACTTTGAACTGGCCATTCTCTGACAAGAGATACTTTAGCAAACGGGTTTACTTTGGAGCTAAACAGAATGGGGTAGAACATCTCCAGAGGCCATGCTAAGCTAGCTTGGTTGCATTGTAAGCTTCAGAAAATAGCACAGGTTATTTTTACTTACATAGATAATGGACCCACAGACCCTCTTTTGCTAATAATGCATCAGATATGAACACTCTTTGTCAGTTCTGCAATTTTGCACACATTCCTGATACAAGGTATGGTAAGATTATTTCTCAAACTTAATAACCAGCCTGATTGGTGACACATTTCCAAATAATTTTCAATTAACCTCTGATACAGGAAACCATAAATAGAACCTAATAAAAACTAGCCACTTATGCAATATCCCTCAGCAAACTTTATTGTTTTTCTTTTATTACTAATGCCTTTTGTCAATTATGCCACAGTCCCATAAAGCCTTCCCTTATAAAAGTGGCAGGTTGGTAAGCTAAACTTAACACTGAATCTCATATATATTTCTGATGTATTTTCATTTCTGAAGCAACTTCTGTTGGTTCTGTTTCCTTCATTCCACATCTATTCAAGTCTTCCCCATATTTCCCTGATTTCCTCTTGTGTTGTTTCTTTCTTTTCCTTTTTTTTTTTTTGTATTGGGGGAGAGGGGAAGAATTGCACTTAAGTGACTTGCCCAGGGTCACACAGCTAGTAAGTATCTGAAGCTGAATTTTAACTCGGGTCCTCCTGACTCCAAGGCAGATGTTTTACCTAATGTGCCACCTAGCTGCCCCTTCTCTTGTTTCTTATGGTGCAATAAGAGCTTGTTACTTTCCTAGACCACAATTTTTTCAACTATTCCTCAAACAGAAAAGCACACACTTTGTATCCAGTTTTTCACTACCACAGAAAGTGCAGCTATGACTATTTTGCTAGATAGGGCATTCTCTGTCTGACCTCCTTGCAATATATGCTCAATAGATGTATCACTAGATCAAAGTGTCTGATAATAACAAACATTTATATAATTCATGAAAGTTTGCAAACCTGAACCGTAACATTTTACTTATGTTTGATCCTCAGAACTACCCTGAGAGATCGGTGTTGTTATCATCCCCATTTTACAGATGAGGGAACTGCTAGTAAGTAACTGAGAGAGGATTTGAACTCATGTCTTCCTAATTCCACATCCAGGACAATATCCATTAGGCCACTCCCCTGAGATGTAAACAGTTCAGTTACATTTCTTTAGAATTCCACATTTTTTTACAGAACAGTTGGACCAGTTTAATAGCTTCACCAACAGTGTGCTGGTGTGCCAGTCTTCCCACAGCCCCTCCAGCACTGTTTCCATCTTTACCATATGCTAATCTCTTAAGTGAATAATCTCAACTCCCTTGGTCCTCGTTCCAAATCCTGCTTTTAGCCACTTGCCCTAGCTCTTCTAGAAGTAAGAAAAGGCAGCAAACTGTGGGCAAAAAGCATTTATATAACCCCAATTGCCTAACCAAGAAAAAAAGAAAGAGGAGGAGTCACTAGAGCCTCTAAGAACCGAGTATTCTATACATGTAAAACAATGCCCAACAAAAATTGGGGATTAGCCATTGAATTTAAATAAGTTAAATATTTAAGTATCTGCTTTGGGCAACTTACTAGGGATGTAAAGTTGAAATACAGCCTAATATGACAAACATTAAATGCCACTGTGTGCAATTATGAAGTTTAAAAGTGATTTTTTTTTAATGCAATTGGGATTAAGTTACTTGCCCAGGGTCACACAGACAGTAAGCGTCAAGTGTTTAGTCTGAGGTCGGATTTGAACTTGGGGCCTCCTGACTTCAGGGCCAGTGCTCTACCTAGCTGCCCCAAAAGTGATTTTTAAAAATGATTTTTAGTAAGGGTATATTACACCACAAGTAGCTATAACACAATATTAAATGATAAGTGTATTAGTTATGAAACAAACTGCCAAATGAGAGGAAAGGGGGACAACAAGCATTTATTAAGCATCTGGTGTGTGCCAGGCACTGAGCTAAGTGCTTTATAAATGTCATCTCATTTCATCTTCACAATAACCTTGAGAGGGAGATGCTAGTATTATTTCCGTTTTACAGCTGAGGAAACTGATAGAGACAGAGGCTGTGACTTGCCCAGGGTTGCGTAGCCAGTAAGGGAGGCCAGATCTTAACTTGGTTCTTCCTGACCCCAGACCCACCACTGCATCCCCTAAACTGTCAGATTCTGTTGATTCCCTTAATTGACTTCACTAGGCCTCACTTTCCTTATCCATAAAATGGGTGGATTTGGATTAGATAACCTCAAAGGGCCCTTGCAACTACTGATCTATGATCCTGATGCAAGATCATTTTGAATCCTGTATTCCAGGCTGCACTTCTTTGTCATTTGTTATTGTTTGGTTGTTTCTGATTCTTTTTTTACCTCATTTAGTTTTCTTGGCAAAAATGCTGGAGTGGTTTGCCATTTCCTTCTCCAGTTCATTTTACAGATGAGGAAACTGAGGCCAACAGGGTAAAGTGACTTGCTCAGGATCACACAGCTAGTAAATGTCTGAGGCCAGATTTGAACTTGGGAAGATGAGTCTTCTGACTCCAGGCCTGGCTATCCACTGTGCCAACTAGCTCCCCATTATCATTGTTAGAGCTATCCTAAAGTGGAATGAGTGGCCGTGGGAATTTGTGAGTTTTCCTTCCCTCACTAGAAGTCTTCAAGTGAAAACTGGATGACCATTTGTGGGTAATGTCATAGAAAGGATGTATGTTCAAATTCAGGTTGATCCAGGTGGCCTCAGAGGTGCCTTCCAAACTCTGACACTGAAAAATCTTGGATACAGTTTTGTTTTTCCTGTCCCCAAGAAGAATCTGAAAGGGGTCCAGCTTGGAAGGTCGGTAAAGAGACTCTGATAGCTCACTTCCCTGTGAATGATGGACATCTCACCGATACTTTCTCCTTATGTTTTGTGTTTCCCTTTCAGAGAAACCAGTCAGACCTACTATCCCGATCATTAGTGGGGCTCTGTCTGTGAAGAGAGCAGAGAACTCCACGCCGCCTGCCTTTGGACAAGATCGCCAAGGACCGTGGACTCCAAGTTGAGCTGCCCTGGGGTCTGCCTTTCCACGGCCTCCACCCCCAAGGAGCACTCATCGGATGGAATTGTTCATAGTGCCAAAGTCCTACTACTGCATTTGCAAAGGGTCCTTGTAAATAGATTGCTCCTCCCTTCCCTGCCCTCCCCCACTCTCATGCCCCCAGCCTCTTGTGATACTGGAATTGATTTGTACAACGTGGCCATTTTGTTACCTTTTTAAATCGGCTCGAGTTGCTTTTACAGATCATACGCTTGCAAGGTTTTTTGGGGGGGAGGCTGGTAATGTGTGCTTTTTTCTTTTTTTTTCTTTTTTTTCTTGGTTTTTGTTTTTAGAATTAGCAACCACTATATCTGCATCTGGGTTTTGGAGGGATTCTCATGATTTTGTTTCATTTTTTAGACCTAGTTTGGAATGGGGGGAGATTTTTCCATGGGGTGTGCAGAGAAATCTCCTTTTAGTTTACCCCAGAGGAGGCTTATAATCAGAGCAGCCTCAAAACCAGTCCTAGCCCCCTTTCTTTCCCAGCTGTTTGCATGGGATTCCCTGCTGTAAGCTCTCCATAAAAGGCTTTCTGCACTGCTGGGAGCGGGGGCTGATTACCTAACTACTGTATGTCCCCAGCCACGCTCTTGGCCCAGCAAGCATCCCAAGAGCTTCATGGCATGCACCTGTCCTTTTTAAGCACCTTTTTATATAAAAGGAGGAAGGGCTCCAATGTTTCTTAGGATTTTTTTTTCCTAAGATGGAATTCATCACACCTGGATAATACCAAGATGAACTGGAGGAAGGGCTCCAGTGTTTCTTAGGATTTTTTTTTTCTAAGATGGAATTCATCACACCTGGATGGTACCAGGTTGAACTGGAGGAAGAGCTCCAATGTTAGGATTTTTTTTTCACAGATGGAATTCATCAAACCTGGATGGTACCAAGATGAACTAGAAGAAGGGCTCCAATGTTTTTTAGGAATTTTTTTCTAAGATGGAATTTATACCTGTATGGTACCAAGAGGAACTGTTTGGGGTCTTGTTTTTTCTTAACTGCCTTTTTGTGGGTGTGATAATTGACAAGATCTCTGCATAAGGCTTCACCGTTATTATTTTTCTTAAGCAATTTTAGATCCCTGAGTGCACTTTTTTCAAATGCCCCTAACATGGAAAAATAAAATGAAAGATATCTCATGTAAATGTTGCAGTATGAATAGTTGTGTTGGCAAACTTCCCCCGGCCCCACCCCCTACTTCAGCACACCGCACAAATCAGAACGTCTAGGGAGTGTGGATAAAACCAACTTTTATAACTTGTTGCTCATTTGTTGTAACTCAATAAAACAAAGCCTAAACATTTTTATAACCTTTTCCTCTGCTGCTTTTCTTTATTTTCTCCTCTTAGTACCAGCAGGGTCCCTTAGATCAGGGGCTTGGGTGTTTTCTCCTCCGCTGGACCGGGCTTGCTAAGCTCAGAGGTGAACATAACCAAATTGGCCACAGGGGGATGAACATTTTGGCCGGAGTGACTCTTGAAGGCAGGATAAGCAAGGCATAACTGTTGGGGTCTCTCTGAGTCTTACAAGCAAGTCTCCACACTGATGAATTCATAAGGAGGGGCAAAGGGATGTCATAGCTATCTCCAGGTACTTAAAGGACCATGTAGAGGAAATATTAGACTTGTAGAGTAGAGCTAGGAGCAGTGGCTAGATGTTACAAGGGGACAGATTGAGTCTTGATGTCATGAAAGAAATCCCAAAGAGTAGATCCAGCCCAGAGCAGAAGGGCTGCCTGGAGAGAGAAAGAGCTTCCCCCCAATCAGATGTCTTCAGGCACAGGTCCAATTGTACTCTAGAGGGTTCTTTTTTTTTTATTTTTTGAGGCTGATTCTCCCTATTTTGCCCAGACTGGATGTATAGCAGCCACCCACAGATCCGATCCAACTACTGATTGGCCTAGAAGTTTTCATGGGCTCCATTTTTTTCTGACCTGGGCTAATTGGTTCTTCCTTAGGCATTCTGATGCCTTCCCTGCCTTTCCCCTCATCCCACAGGACTCTCGGAATTAGTGCTAAATTTAGTTCAGACACTCACCCAGCTTAGCCTATGCTTCTCAGAATTCCTGCCATCTGCCTCAGCCTTCCCATATCAGGGATGTAAGCAGATATGTGCCACCATGTCCAACTGTAGGGTATGTTGGATGGAGGGCTCTTTCTCTAGTGTAGGTGGATAGAGAGGATCTCTAAGGTCTCTGGAAACTGAAATTTTCTTAAAATATTTCTTAAAATTTTAATTCACTCTGCCAATCCAGGTGGGTACTTACTCTGCCATTTATGATCTTAGAGAATTCCCTGGAGTATTGAGAAGTTAAAGGATTTCCCCAGGGTCACATGGCCACCAAAGACTTGAACCCAGGTCTTCTTAGTTCAAAGTCTGGCTCTCTATACCCTGCACTAGAGGTTTGACACTAGAGCTGTCAAACATTTGGCCCACACCACTGCAGAGCGGGGCTGAACCAGATTAAAATGCAGTTGGGAAATAGTTAACTGAATAAAAGGACGATAAAGCATAGATAATGTTGTTCAGTCATGTCTAACTCTTCATGACCCCATTTGGGGTTTTCTTGGTGAAGATACTGGAGAGGTTTGCCACTTCCTTCTCTGCTCTTTTTAGAGATGAGGAAACTAAGGCAAAGAGGGTTAAGTGACTTGCCTAGTTTGTGCAACTCTGCCTCACTTAACACCAATTCACACAGAAGTGAAAAGGAAGTGTCTAAAGCCAGATCTGAACTCAGGAAAACGACTTCGGGCCAGCGTTGTATCCACTGAACATCTAGCTTCCCCTAAGCATGAGTATTACATTTTAAAACTAAGTTGATGTGGGGCCTACTGGGATCTTTAAGTTGACCCCATTTCTATTTGAGTTAGATACCACTACAGTGTGCCATACTTGTCTGTCTTCAAATTTTTGAAGGGTTGTTACATAGAAGAGGGTTTCAACTTGCTCTGCTTGACCTTGAAGACAATCAGCAAGCCTTAAAGTACCTACTATGTGGGGCAGCTAGGTAGCATAAGTGTCAGAGGTGAGATTTGAACTCAGATCCTCCAAGAGTAACAGTTCTTCTCTACAAGGCTTGCTGGGTGCCTTGTTGATTTTTACCAGACATTATCATTGGTTTTCACTCACACACACACACACACACACACACACACACACACACACACACACACACACACACGAGATGGGTTCTGTTGTTAACCTCCATGAGAGCCCTCAAGACTTGAATTGGAAGTGAGATGTTTGCAGAGACAGGCTGGATACTGAGGGGAATAACTGTCAGGGTATTCTGAGACACTTAAAGATCTTCTAAGAGATGTGTCCTGCTGAGTAAAAGTAAGTAAAAGCCCCAGGGTCTTAAACCATTGGTGTGGTGTGGAACAAGGTGAACTGAACGAGGAAGAGACACCTGTATTCCAGCACTGCTCCCTCCAGTTACCAGCTATGTGGCCGTAAGGTGTGTCTCTGGGTCCCAGTTATCTTATGTGTAAAGGAGAGATGATATTTGTCTGGCCTACCTGAAGTCACACATCTAGGTCAGATCTGAAGTTACCTCCTTACCCTAAGATCATTAATCTTTCATTCATGCAGTCGACTTTTCATTTAAGTCAATGAGCATTTATTAAGTACCTGGCGTGTGCAAAGATAATGGAGTGGTTTGCCATTGCCTTCTCCAGCTCATTTTAACAGATGAGGAAACTGAGGCAAACAGGATTAAATGACTTGCCCAGGATCACACAGCTAGTAAATGTCTGAGGCCAGATTTGAACTCAGGAAGATGAGTCTTCTTGACTCTAGACCCCAAGCTCTATCCACTGTTCCACCTAGCTGCCCCATAATAACATCTATGTTCTATTGTATTTTTTATTTATTTTGTTACATATTTTCCAATTACATTTTAATCTGGTTCAAACAGAGTGTTGTAGGGGCATGTTTAACACCTCTGTCATAGAGGACATTCCTGGTTGTGTATGGTTTGGATAATGGGGAAGGTGGGGGGGGAGTAACATTTAAGTCAATGAGCATTTATTAAGTACCTGGTGTGTGCAGAGTCCTGTACTAGGGGCTGAGCCTATTAATATAGATCAGATATGGTCCCTACCCAACATAACAGTTATGAACTAGTAGGGTGTGGTTCATTGGCAAGAGCACTGACTCTAGAGTCTTATGACTGTATTAGATTGTAAGCTCCTTGAGGGCACAGAATGTATTTTTCTCTTTTTTGTATCTCCAATTCTTAGCACTATGCCTGGCACATAGTAGGCACTTAACAAATGTTTATTGATTGAGTTCAAATCCCACCTCTGACATACTACCTATGGGGCCTTGGGCAAGTAACTTCCCCTTCCCAGCCTCAGTTTCCTCATCTATAAAATTAGAGGGTTGGACTAGATGACCTAATATTTTTTCCAACTTCAGATCCTATGATCTGAGTTAGTTAAAAGACCTTTCTCCTCCTCCTACACACTTTTTTTTAAAGCATAACAAATTATCAAGGAATTCATTTAGGTACAGAAATTAGTCAGAAGACAGATGTTCCCCCAAAGTTCTCCCTTTGGTTTTGTGAAACAGTTGCTACCGTCTCACACACCGTCTTGCTTGAAGATATCATTTAAATTGCTTTAGAGAGAAGCACCATGAAGGGGTGGGGGTGGAGTAGGGGCAGGAATAGGGTTGGGTTCAGGGAGGATGAGAAGGCAGAAGGGCTGTAAATGCTGCCTTCTGCTGAAGAAGGAGCCTGAGGAATCCTGGCAGGGCTGGAGTTTGGTTTGATGCTCATTAAGTGGCCCCAGAAGGGAAAGAAACAGCGTGGAAGTGATGAGCAGCCTCCATGATGCAGATGTTGGAAGCATTAACAGGAGAAGGGATTACAAATGGAACCAAGAATGAGCAGGAGCCCACAAAATAAATTCAGTGCAATGGAAAAAATTACAGGTTGGAGTATGAGGGAGGGGCAGGTTGTTAGCATTTCCTTCCACAGTCAAAACCTAGTTATTCTGAGAGTTGGGGCTTTTCCTCCTCCATTCTCCTTCCCATATGTGAGACCCCCTTACCACACAGATCACTGAATCCTGGAATTGAGGGCTGGACTTGAAACAACCCGAGGCAGGAGATAGAAACCAACACGAGACAAAAATCCAAGCAATACCACAAAGCAGCATCGGGTGATTTGCCCAGTGAAGAGCAGGAACCCACTTGATCCTATTATCCATTTAGGGCAGACTCTGGTCACTAAAGACACAGGCATCAAGGCTGAGTAGGTGGAGTATTAGACATAGAGTCCAAAGATCTGAGTTCAAATCTCATCTTAGCTACTTGGTACCTGTGTGACCTGTTGCAGGATCACCTGTTGCTGGAGCCACCTCCTACCAGCTAAAGCAATTGTTAAATTTTGAGAGTGACAATCTACACCCCATGTAAATCACTACAAATCAGAGCTTGATTTACTGTTTTTGTGATTGTCTAGATTTTAGGAAATGATGGAGAAAATGTTAATAATGCAGACTAATCTTAAAAGTGCATCATCAGGGCAGCTAGGTGGCACAGTAGATAGGGCACTGGTCCTGAAGTCAGGAGGACCTGAGTTCAAATGTGACCTCAAACATGATACTCACTAGCTATGTGACCCTGGGCAAGTCACTTAACCCCGATTGCCTCACCAAAAACAAACAAAAAAAAGGTACATCATCAGGGCAGCCAGGTGGCACAGTAGATAAGGGCACTAGCCCTGAAGTCAGGAGGACCTGAGTTCAAATCTGAACTCGGACACTTATTAGCTATGTGATCCCGGACAAGCCATCTAACCCCGGTTGCTTTCAAAAAAAAATAAAGTGCACTGTACATTTTTGGAGAGCCAATTGTTAAGCATTTACCAACACTCCTGGCTATAAGTAATTTAATCCCTCAGTTTCCTCATTTATAAAATGACAGAGTCAAAATAGACTAGATAATTTCTAAAAATTCCTTTCTAGTCCTAAATTCTCTGAGTGTGTTCTGAAGGCCTTTTGAGGTGATAGCAGCCAAGTTAGTAACTGAATTAACTGATCATTGCTATTCTGGCACTTGTATGCCCCAAAGTTAATCACAATAACAGTTCCCATTTATATAGCACATTATTTGCCAAGAGCTTTCCACGATTGCCTCGTTTGATCCTTACAACACTGGGAAGTAGGTGCTTTTGTTAACCCCATTTCATAGATGAGAAAACTGAGCCTCATAGAGGTAAGTGACTTGCTCAGGGTCATCAGCCAGTAAGCATCTAAGGCAGCCAGATCTTCCTAACTTCAAATCCATCACTCAAACCTCTACACC